AAACGGTCAGAGTCGACTTGCTAACCAAGCAGTACCTTTTCTGCCTGCAGTATAAAGTGTTGTGACTCAGATTTGGCATTCTTGTGTTTGTCCTGATGATTGCAAGAAGAAAAAATTAAACCACACAGCTCTCTTTTCAACAAGACTGAAGTTTTGCACTCAGTGACCATTCCCATACACTTCCACTCTACTGGTGAAGCTTTCTATGCTTTTTATTTTTAAAAAGCTGTACTCCTGCTTGTAAAAGAAACAAACACGTGGGCATAGATCAAAAGTGAACTGTAAAAGCAGCAAGGGTGAAAGGAAAACAAACCTGTGCCTTAATGCGCGGAGCATCTGCAATAAAGTGGATGAACTAATTGCGCAGATTGATGTAAACAATAATATAATTGGGATCACGGAGACAAGGCTGCAAGGTGACCAGGGATGGGAACCGAATGTCCCATGGTATTCAGTTTTAGGAAGGACGGGCAAAAAGGAAAAGGTGGCAGAGCAGAATTGCTGGTTAAATAGTAAATTAACACAACAGTGATAAAGGATATGAGCTCTGACAAAGTGGAGTCTGTATGGGTAGAGTTGAGAAATACCAAGGGGCAAAACAACATTAGTAGGTGTCATATATAGATGCCTAAACTGCAGTGGTGATGTCGAGAATGGCATTAAACAGGAAATTAAAGATGCATGTGATAAGGGAATATCGGTGAGCATGGGTGATTTTAATCTGTACATAGATTGGGCAAATCAAATTAGCCACAATGTCATAGAGGAGGAATTCCTGGTGTGTCTATACGGGATGGTTTTCTCGACCAATATATGGAGGAACCAACTGGACAGCAGGCCAGAGATAGTAGGAACTGCAGATGCTGGAGAATCTGAGATAACAAGGTGTACAGCTGGATGAACACAGCAGGCCAACCAGCATCAGAGGAGCAGGAAGGCTGACGTTTCGGGCCTAGACCCTTCTTCAGAAATGGGGGAGGGGAAGGGGGTTCTGAAATAAATAGGGAGAGAGGGGGAGGTGGATAGAAGATGGATAGAGGAGAAGATAGGTGGAGAGGAGACAGACAGGTCAAAGAGGCGGGGATGGGGCCAGTAGAGGTGAGTGTCGATGGGGAGGTAGGGAGGAGATAGGTCAGTCCAGGGAGGACGGACAGGTCAAGGGGGCGGGATGAGGTTAGTAGGTAGGAGATGGGGGTGGGGCTTGGGGTGGGAGGAAGGACAGGTTAGGGAGGCGGGGATGAGCTGTGCTGGTTTTGGGATGAGGTAGGGGGAGGGGAGATTTTGAAGCTTGTGAAGTCCACATTGATACCATTGGGCTGCAGGGTTCCCAAGCGGAATATGAGTTGCTGTTCCTGCAACCTTCCGGTAGCATCGTTGTGGCACTGCAGGAGGCCCAGGATGGACATGTCGTCTGAGGAATGGGAGGGGGAGTTGAAATGGTTCGCGACTGGGAGGTGCAGTTGTTTAGTGCGAACTGAGCGTAGGTGTTCTGCAAAGCAGTCCCCAAGGCCATCTTAGACTGGGTGCTGTGTAATGAGAAAGGAATCATTGCCAATCAAGCTGTGAGAGACACCTTGGGGAAGGGTGACCATACCATGATAGAATTTTTTATCAAAATGGAGAGCGAGGTTGTTGATTCGGAGGCTAGGGTGCTGAACCTTGATAAAGGAAATTATGAGGATATGAGGTGTGAGTTGGCCTTGATAGATTGGGGAGAGTTATTTAAAGGGAGGACAGCAGATAGGCAATGGCAAACATTCAAGGAACGCCTGGGGGAACTGCAACAACTGTTTATTCCTGTCTATCACAAAACCTAAATGGGTAAGAGGGCCAATCCATGGCTCACAAAGGAAATAAGAGATAGTATCCGATCCAAGGAAGAAGCATACAGATTGGCTAAGAAAAGTAATAAATCTGAGGACTGAAAGCAGTTTAGAATTCAGCAAAGAAGGACCAAGGAATTGATTAGGAAGTGGAAAATAGAATATGAAAGTAAGCTTGCAGGGAACATAAAGACTGACACTAAAAGTTTCCATAGGTATGTGAAGAGAAACAGATTGGTAAAGACAAATGGAGGTCCCCTACAGACAGAAACGGGGGAATGTATATTAGGGGACAAAGAAGTGACTGAGGAACTGAATACATACTTTGGTTCTGTATTCACAAATCAGATACCAGAATTGTTGGAGGATGCAAGATTTACTGAGAGGGAAGAGGTGAAAGAGATCAATATTAATAGAGAAATGGTGCGGGGAAAATTGTTGGGATTGAAGGCCAATAAATCTCTAGGGCCTGATAATCTCCACTCCCAGAGAACTTAAGGAAGTAACTCTAGAAATAGTGAATGCATTGGTGGTCGTCTTCCAGGATTCTATAGACTCTGGAACAGTCCCTGCAGATTACAGAGTGGCTCATGTCACTCCAATATTCAAAAAGGAAGGTAGAGAGAAAACAAGGAATTATAGACCAGTGAGCCTAACATTGGTAGTGGGGAAAATTCTTGAATCTATTGTCAAGGATTTTATAGCAGAGCATTTAGAAAACAGTGGCAGAATCAGACAGAGTCAGCATGGATTTATGACGGGGAAATCATGCTTGATAAATCTGTTGAAATTCTATGAAGATGTAACCAGTAGAGTTGACATCGGGGAGCCAGTCCATGTAGTATATTTGGACTTTCAGAAAGTGTTTGACGAATTCCCACGTAAGAGATTAATGTGCAACATTAAAGTGCATGGGATTGGGGGATAGGAAACTGGTTGGCACAGAGGAAACAAAGAGTAGGAATTAATGGGTCCTTTTCAGGCAGTAACTAGTGGGGTGCCACAGGGATCAGAGCTGGGACCCCAGCTATTCACAATATATATTAATGATTTAGATAAAGGAACAAAATGTAACATCTCCAAGTTTGCAGACGATAGTTGGGTGGGAGGGTGAATTGTGATAAGGATGCAGAGATCCTTCAGCATGATCTCGACAGGATGGGTGAGTGGGCAAATCAATGGCAGATGCAGTATGATTTGGCTAAATGTGAGGTGATTCAGTTCGGAAGCAAAATCAAGAAGGCAGATTATGACCTGAATGGCTGTAAATTGGGAGAGGGAAGTATGCAGCTGGACCTGGGCATCCTTGTGCACCAATCACTGAAGGTAAGCATGCAGATGTAGCAAGTGATAAAGAAGGCGAATGGTACGTTGGCCTTCATTGCAAGAGGTTTTGAGTATAGGAGCAGGGATATGTTGTTACAGTTATACAGGACCATCTAGAATATCGTGTGCAGTTTTGGTCTCCTTTTCTGAGGAAGGATGCTCGTGCACTCGAGGGAGTGCAGCGAAGGTTTACCAAGCTGATTCCGGGCATGGCAGGTCTGATGTATGAGGAAAGCTTGACTAGGTTGGGATTGTTTTCACTAGAGTTCAGACAAACGAAGAGGGATTTAAGAGACTTATAAAATTCTAACAGAACTGGACAGGGTAGATGCTTGGAGGATGTTCCTGATGGTGTGTGTGCTGAGAACCAAGGGTCACAGTATGAGGATTTGGGGTAGACCATTTAGAACAGAGGAGGAGACATTTCTTCACCCAAAGAGTAGTGAGGCTGTGGAATTCATTACCACAGCAAGTAGTTGATGCCAAAACATTGAATGTATTCAAGAGGTGACTAGATATAGCACTTGGGGGCAAATGGTTTCAAAGGTTATGGGGCAAAAGCAGGATTAGGCTATTGAGTCGGACAATCAGCCAAGATGGTGAAGATTGGCAGAGCAGGCTTGAAGGACCAAATGGCCTCCTCCTGTTCCTATCTTCTATGTTTCTAAACTTTTCCACTTATCGAACAGCTAGGCTCTGGAGTGTGCTGCCTCAAAATGTGGGTGAGGCTGACTCAATTGAGGTATTTAAGAGGGCACTGGTTAAAATAATGTGCAACAATGGTGCTCTTGTGGCTTAGTGGTAGCATCCCTACCTCTGAGGTAGGTGGCCAGGGTTCATATGCCATCTGCTCCAGAGGTGTGCACTAACATCTCTGAACATGTTAATTAGAAAATGCCTCAAAATAACATACAAGGATAATGGAAAAGGATGTTTTGGGGGGGGGGGGGAGGAGGTGTAAAGAAGGACGTTGGTGATGGGTCATGTTACTTGCTTAGGCACAATGGGTTCCACTTGGGGCATCTCACCTCTGCGATTCCGTGATTGTGATGCAACTCTGGCATTCGCGTTCAGAGAACTGCCAGCTTTTGTCCATTGACGCAGCAAGTGTGAAAAGCCCTGAATGGGCGTAAGGTGCATTTCAATGTCATGTCTGCGTGGCCGTAGCTCCTACAATAACCAGGCTCAGGCACCAAATACCACCTGGTCACCCAAGTGAACGGGCACCAGGCCATTTGGCCCAAAGAGTCCTTGCCAGCCTTGGTCCTCCCTCTTTTGGTAATCTATTCCCATACACAAGACAATCTGGCTCAACTTGTTAGCACTCTGAAGATTGTTTTCTTAGAATTACTTTGATATACAGAAGTGCTCTCATATACAACTGAACTTTTATTTCCCTTCACTAAGGCACCCGTGCTATTTTTTCATTTTTTAATCACGAGTAAATCATTTCTCCCTATTAACTTACACGCAAAGCCCATTTTGTTTTTATTGACATACAAAAGTGCCTTTGCTCTTAAACACCATTGAACAGGTTGTCTCCCCTCACCGGTTTTGTTTTGTTTTAAATCGATTAACCAACGAATAAGTCAACTTTTCCCCCCCGAATGATTTTATATCCAAAGCACAGATGCATTTTTTTTCCCCATCATTCCAGAAGTGCTCTTTAAAATGAACGGTTTTTGTCCCCATCTCTAAATCACCCGCGTTATTTTTGTCATCGATGAACCACCCACTGAGTTTTCCAACTAAGTAATTTACATACCAAACCCGTATGCAGAGTTGAATATGTATTTAGGATATCCAAATTTATTTTCTACAGTGATAATTTTAACAATTGCCAACTCTGACCTGCCGCCCTCTCGCTGAGGAAAAACCGTCGAGCCCGGCAACTGACAACTGGCAACGAATGCCGGGAATTGGAGTCCCGCCCGGGAGACAGGAAGTCACGCGCGATCGCGAAGCTCTCTGGGATCTGTAGTACAGTCGCCAGCCTTTGGCTCATCCAATCTTCACTTTATAAACTACAATCCCCGTCAGGCCTCTTCAAGTTATTCCACACCACCGTCAATCCCACACACATGCGTACAAACTCCTGAAAAAAAAATCGATTAAAAGAATTCCGCCGCTGTTTTCTTACCTCCCCCTGCACCCTTAAAACAAACGAGACTTGTTTTATTTCTTCCAACATTTAACAAAGTCTTTTCCGTTCGGCAGGGAGTGGGGGGAAGGAGGTGTGGGGGGAAGCTGCGCATCCGGGTCACGGCGCGTTGTGTCTCCCTCCTTTCGGTCCGGCTTTCATGTCGGCATTAACGACAGAAAGAGCCGGTCCGGTCCGCCCCGTTATTCCCTCCCCCGTCTCTTCACTTTACCACCCCCACCCCCCCCTACACCCCAATTACCGGCCCGGCTCGGCGGTGGAAGCAAGGCCCGGTTTTTAAACTCTTGGTCTCTCGATCGATTATCATTTCGTTGCTGTTATTACCGTAACACCACGTACATTTTAAAAATATATATCTAGATTGTTTTATTTTGCCCGGCCGCGCGGGTCGGTGGTGGGGCGAACAGAGAGAGTGATCGCCGAGTGATGAAGAAATTCTTCGACTCCCGGCGGGAGGCGGCGGGCTCGGGTTCGGGAGGTGGCGGTGGTGGTGGCGGTGGAGGAGGCGGCAGCAGCGGCGGGGGCGGCGGCTTATGCCCCGGCAGCGGCTTCATCGGCCGGGTGTTCAGTGTGGGCCGGCAGCAGGTCACTGTGGAGGAGGTGGTGGCTGAAGGTGAGGTGCGGTCATGGACCGTGGGGCTTGCGGGGATGGAGGCAGGAGCGGTGGTGTTGACAAGTGTTGAGGGATCCTGCCCTTTCAGCACCGTGATCCAGCATCCCCACTGATACTAAGCCCGCCATCCCAATATTACTGATACTGAAATCCTGCGATTCTACAGTTACAGATCCTGCAATCCCAATGTTACTGATCCTGCCATTTCAGCATCAGTGATCCAGCATTCCCAATATTACTGATCCTGCGATTTCGAAATTACTGATCCTGCAATTCCACTGTTGCCGATTCAGCAATTTTGGCATTGACTATCCAGCGATCCCAATATTTCAGATCCTGCCATTTCAACATCCAGTATTCCCACTGCTACTGATCCAGCAATTTCTAACATTATAGATCCTGCCATTTCAACATCCAGCATTCCTAGTGTTAGTGATCCTGCAATCTTACTGTTGCTGACTCAGAACCCCAACATTGTGGATCCTGCCATTTCAACATCAGTGATCCAGCATTCCCACGGTTACTGATCCTGCAATCCCACCTTTGCTGATGCAGCAAATTTAGCATCAGCTATCCCTCAATTCAAATCTAGTCATCCTGCAATTATAACATTAATTCTCTGACATTCGCATTATTTCACATCCAGCTATCCCACTTTAATGATCCAGCAATATCAAGATTACAAATCAGCAGCAATATCAATATTTCTGACCTTGCAATCCCACTATTACAGATCTTGGAATTTCAACATTTTTGCTTTTTGAGATTCCACCATACCACAATTACTGTTCCAGTAGTCCTACCTACTATTACTGATCTTACAATCCCACTATAGCTGATCCCGCAATCACACTATTGTTGATCCTGTAATCCTACGATTACTGATCCTGCAATCCCAATACTTCTAATCCTACGTTCTCAGTATTACTACTGATCCTGCAGTCTCCATGTTACTGATCCGGCATTTTCATTAATAGTGATCCAGCAATCCCACTTTTATATATGCCCTATAATTTCCACGTTATCAATCCAGCAATCTCAATACTACTGATTCAGCAGTTTCAAAATTAACCATGTGCCCATCCCAGTTCTGTGATTTCAGTATTATGTATCTTGCATTTTCAAGACTGATCCAGCACTCTCAGTATTATTGATCCTTCAATTTTAAATATAATGATCCAGCAATTCTAATGTTACTGGTCTTGTAATTTCAACAATACAGATCCTGCAATTTCAGCAGTACTGAAACAGCAATTTCAAAATTAATGATGTGCTAATCCCAACACTATTATCTCAACATCAGGTGTCCTGCATTCTCTATAATGATCAAACACTCCCAATATTACTGATTTTGCATTTTTCAGTGGGATGATCCAGCAATGCCAATTTCCTGCAATTCTACTATCACTGATCCTATATTTCCAAAATTGCTGATTGTACATTCCCAATATTACTGATCTTGAAGTCCCAGTTCTGAGCTTGGATTCCCGACATTACTGATTCTGCAATCCCAAAACCATGTTTTAAATCTCAGTTTTGACTGATGCCTCAATTCCAGTAACAGTGATCCAGAAATCTCAGTACCCATCCAGCAATTCCATTAGTACTCATCCTATAATTCAATATTATTGATCCAGCAATCCCACTATTATTAACATAGCTATCTGAAGATTACAGACCCAATAATCCCAATGTACTGGACTTCTCATAAATGGTCCCAAAATTGCTTCATTAATTGATCTTATTATCAGGAGTAAAGCAATATCAAGAGTAACATTGTTATGATTGCTGAAGAACAATAGGTAATTATAAAAGTACAATTGGTTTATGTGTAATATGATTGTACTTTTTGATCACATTTATATAATGACTGCAGGTCTCAGCAAGGAATCCAGCATCCCAATAATCAAAGTAATATTACGAACAATGTCCCAGCTATTGATCCATAATTAACACAATTGCAATTGCTGGAATGTGGCAGTCAGCTCACTGTTTCCATCAATGTTAATTAGATTCCTGGTTCTCTCAGCAATATTACTGCTGAGCTTCAGAGAGGTATGTAATCATGTTATGTCTGCAGTTGGGGGTCAGTTACCTCAGTTGGCTGGATGTCTGGTTTGCGGTGCAGAGTGAGGTCAATAGTGCAGTTTCAGTTCCCACACCGGTTGAGGTCACCATGAAGGTTCCACCTTCTCAAGCCTGCCTCTTCCCTACGCATGGTGACCCTCAGACTAATTCACCAGCAGATATCTCTCTCCAAGGTGAGCAGCCCTGCTGGGACATTGGCATCTTTACCTTTACTCACTGATTATCAAAGAATTGCTCAATCTCAGCAGTAATCTCTAAATGCTGCATCAGTGTAAGTGGGAATACTGAATGCTGGATAACGACTGGGCTTGCTTGATCAGTTATCCTGAAATTTGGAGATCACTAACACTTGGAATGTACAAACAGTATTGGACTTGCTGGATCAGTAACGGAAGTCATGCTGGAGTAGGGTCCCTGCAGCCTCGTACCTTGTTGATGTGGCACAGGTAGTGTAATTATCAGCAGTTATTTGACAGTTTGGGGGATTGGGGAGCAGATTTACCATATTCTCACCAAACATGTCATCAAGGGCATCTTCCATTAAAGTCCTCAGAAAGCATATTCCCTCCTCAATGAGTCATCTTTTATTTTAACTTGCAAATGACAATGCTGAAGTTGGGATGAGTTGAGCGTTATGAACTGATCCTTTTGGGAAATGGAAGCACTTGAATTTATGTAAAATCTTTTTGACCTTTCAAAACTTTGAAATGTACTTCTCGGCCTTTTTAAGTGCAACAACAAGTTTTACAAAAGTGCAGCACCTAATTTGCATACAGCAAGTTCCCTCAGAACAGCATGTGATGATGATCAGATCATTTGTTTTAGTATGGTTCATTCAGTGGTGAATATTGGCCAGGACACTGGGGAGAACTCTCCCATCCTCTTGATTAAAATAGTATTGTGGGATCTCTTACCTTCACTGAGGTCAGACATTAAATTCTAACTGCACCTGTTGTGTCAGTCCAGATTTTAGTTCATGTCCCTAAACTTGTACTTGAGCCTACCAGCTTCTGACTGAACATCCAGACTACTCAATGAGTTGAGGGTGACACTTTTCCCTACTCATGCAAACAAGATTCACAGCACAGTTTGGTTTTGTTTGCAGGAATTTTTGTTCATGAGTCTTTTCCCTTGAACAAAATTATATTTATCATCAAAGATGCATGTTTATGTTAACTCTTAGAAATTGCCTGTCATTCAATTGGTTGTTGCAATGTAAAACAGACCTGTGATACAACCTGTTTGGACAAGTTCACTCCATGGCTATGTGCTTGACTTATAAGCCATTCTGTTTTGTGGGTATCCGGAGCAAAGGTGAGGGCCTTCTCTGCATGAACTTCTCTGAGCTCAGACCCATGAGCGTCAATGGCCCGGATTGCGAACAAACTGCATACTGTCTTGATCAGCAACAGGCTGTAACATGATGCATGATGAAGAGTAGACAAGAGACATTTCCTTCAAAGACTATCTCTTTAACTTCTGAAATTGAATTTGCAATTGGAATCCATTTTCATAATTTGACTCAATATCAGTTTATCGAAATGAACAAAAATTGCAAACCAGCTGTATTTTGGTCGTGATTGTGGCTGATTAATCAGAGCCATTTAGAATATTTCAGAGGTGATTGTAAGTAATTAGCATTACAAGCCCTGCCATTTCCCCAGGCCATGTTTCCTGATACTGGCCTCACTAAGTATGACCAGATTTTTATTTTTTGCAATTGGTATTTTGGCTGACACTAATACTGGAGGAACCTACTTCTCCCTCACGATTGACATTGATTGTCTTCTGCCAAGTTTATTGAGTTCTTAGGCCAGCGCAAATAATTCCCATCCTGTAACAAAAGTAGAAATTACTGGAAAATCTCAGTAGGTCTGGCAGCATCTGTGGAGAGAAATGAGAGTTAACGTTTCTGGTCCAGTGACCTTTCATCAGAACTCTCATTCTGTAGCGACCTTTGCTTGTGCACTGCATACGATCCTAACTCCCAGAGCATTGAAATGACCCATATACTCACATTTTCCTTCATACAAATCTTCAAGTCTATTTTTGATGCTCAGATTTTTGTTGCATCAAGAACTCATTTAGTGTCTTTTTTTACAAAGCCCCTTTGTATCTTTCCCCTCTCAGTTAGCAATTATGGTCAGGGAGGATGCAGATTAGTTTGAATGGTATTAAAAAATCTGTTTTACATTTACACATGTACATTTCCAGTGAAGTCTAGAGGAAATACTGAAAACTACAAAAGATTGACAAGTCACCAGGAGGTTACATTGGGAGGAAGGAACGACACTGTGGGAAAAATATTTTCTGATTAACTGATCATTAAAATTTGCGCACTGTGGAATTTCATTTTATTTTCAGAGTTGCTTTTTAATCAGTTGTGCAGGGCTAAATACTGTAAAACAAGAAATTATGAGAATGCTGAAAATTTGAAATTGGATTGACTTATTTTGTGCGCCCAGATTTCTAGCTGCCCAGGAACTGGTTTACTCACTACTGGTTGCTCTATGCCAAAAGTGGGGCAGTTCATTCTCAGAGAATTTAGAAACAGAAGGATCCATCGTATTGCAGAGATTACGTACTAGAGTTTTCCAGCTTTGACTGTTATTTGGTGCATGCACAAAAGCCTGAATGGGCTCTTTCTGAGCTGTAACAATTCTGTGATTCTGAGATTCTGTTGATTAGGGCTTTGCTGTTTGAGGGAACAAGTTTTCCATCTGATCCTCCTCAGAGGCCTCAGGTAGGAAAGTACATTGTGATGCCCTGAGTTTGTGAAAGGTGCAAGGTAAATAAGAGGTTGTGCTTTTCGCACTTTGTTAAAGTAGGAAGTTGGAAACTTCATTTTCAGTGATGACGATATGTTCCAATTAACTACGTGTCTGATGGTACATTCATACTTCAGATGTCCT